ATCTAATATTCCCTTCATCCTAAAAATCAATTCACAGAATCAAAATCAATACTACCCTAACACATGTAACCTGTCAATTCTGGAATCTGTTTCTTGTGGCTTGTCACTGTTTTTGCAAGCCTTKTGTTTCAGCAGAATAAGTTGTTGCTAAAACATAACACTTTAAAGAACATCCTGAAAATGTGAGTATGTGCAGTAAGACCAAAGTGCAGAAAAATTTTGATTGGATTTCAGCTGCTGCCAGYGCAGTTGCATGTCTTAGCTTTCATGTCTATGATAGGAGTACAGACTTCATACCACGCAGGAGAAATTGGATCAGAGACATARTCTGGCTGCTTACGCACTCACACCACCAGATTTTTAGCTACCCCTGCAACATATGAAACTGGCTGGCATTTTTCAATTAATGAAGAGGATGGATATTGTAGACACTTTATTACCTCTGGTTGGTGTTTTGCACTTTCCCCAAGGATAAGATAAAATAATTTTCTGCAAGCTTGTGCTTTGAACAGAACATTAGATGTCAAGATTATGGGAGAGCAAGGAGAAAAGATAAAAGCTGAAACATGAATAGGTATACATGTATTACACAGGAAGTAATTAAGATCCTGGATAGGTTTTGCATGGATTTAAGAGCTACAGAAGTGTCCCCACAGCTGTTACATCCGTTTTTGCGTTATGGCAATGCCTCCTGCTATTGTACAGTGAAGAGTCTATCACTGTTGTTCAAAAAGCCTTTCTGTAAATAGTTTGTATTCATTCATACAAAACCTAAGTTTAGGCTGAAATTGACCATGTAGTGTGTCATTCCTGAAAAATGTGTTTTAGTTAACATTATGTKCAAACAAGGAAAAAAAACCTTTCACATAACTATTCCCTGCTTCTGAAAGATGACCTGGTATACAGTGATTCASATGCTCAAGTTCCTACATAAGCAGTCCTTTTCCAAAATGCAGCCTATGGTTAGTGTAAGATGCAGCTTTTGAGTGGAAAAAAAAAAGCAGAAAATATATATGACAATGACAGCACAGCTAATGATGGTGTGCACTCGCTTCTGTCAGCAGGCTTCCCAAGGTTTTTCAATATGATGTCAGCTGTGTATACGTTGCTTGCATTGAGTGAATTATGGGGAAATATCTCTGCAACAACTGTTCTATTATGTCTTATCAACTGTGCATATATTTGTATAATAGACCACAAATTCCTCCTTCTGAGAAGTTGTTGAATATGTATTTGCTGTACAGATTTAATGTCTCTACAGATCAGATAATGTTACAGAAAGTTTGCCAGATGATACTGGTATGCAGTTTTTGGCAACAGCCTTCCTTCCTTGAAAGAGTGAAAAAAAAACTAAACCACTGAACACAGAGAAGCTATTTATAAATAGGTCTTCTTTATCTTTTTTAAGCCCAGCAATGGTACATTAGTTGATTGAGTCTTTTGTGAGATAATTTAATATAATGACACAATGGTATTTAGACACTTTGCCAAATAAAAGAAGACAAAACCACTGAGTTATTAAAAAGGCACTCTTGCAGTTTCTGCACTGCATTTACTGCCATCATTGTCAGTTAAACAGTGGAAACTTTCTTGAAAGTTAATTCACTTTCAGAAGGGTGGAATACCCAAGAGGGACCCTGCTTCCTTAGTGTTAATGCTGGCAAGGGGATATTTTCATTCTTCCATTGTGCTTTTGGATATTTATATTCCCTTATGCCTCATGTAAGTTACTGTAAGTAAACAATGAGACTAAACAAACAATCCCCTAATTTTTCCATATATAATCCATTTTGTAGCATGAGGGCAATAGTTTCATGATGTTTATTTTTCAGTGCTCTTTTTCAATCAGTTTTTAATGATTATAGCAATAGGCTTGGTCCTGCGCCATTCGAGGCAGTAAAAATGCCCCTTGTAAAGCTCATGGTGCAGAACTGAGTCACAGCAGGGGAAATGTTATTTAATTTTAATTTTCCTTTTCTCATTTCCTTTCTGTTACTACTAATAGTGTTACTTTAGGAGTACTGTGTGTTAGACAGGCTAGCTTAATTGCTGTTTCTTTTTCAGATCCARTCATACAAGCAATTACATCAAAGTTATTAAATTGGTTACCTGACATGACACACATTAGTCCCGTAAAGACAAACCAGGTGTGACTTAACAGTCTTTATCATTCCTTTTGTGTAAGCATTCCAAGATGATCCCTAACACTCTGTCTAGGGTACTACCTTTGCTTTGGACYGAGCCATAACAGCTCTCAGAAATACTGAGCATACGCATCCTGAGAAAACCCGTATATGACTGGATTTATATTCCCAAATCATTGGCTCATTCACTTGTTAACTATATAAATGTATCCTGTAATATTGAACAAGAATACCTTACCTCACCTTGAGACTGACAACATTAAAGTCTCTTTATAGATCACAGTAAGAATGTGCTAGTATCTGAAACATTTGGTGCCAAGACACCCTGAYTTCAAAAGGGGGAGCTTCTGACACTAAATCATTTTTATTCCATTTCATGCCCTCCAAATGAATTACGAAGCCATTACAAAGCTTACTGATTCATTGCCCCATCACTTTTTCTATGTCCAAAATGCTACAACTGTTTCTTGCACAAACTACCAGAGCTCTACTCTAGCCAGACGTCTCCAGACATGAATTATTTTTATTTGGAAGCACTCATACAGGCAGCATAGAAGTGTGAACAGTCGTCTTTCCTCATGCTGTACAGAAGTGAGAGTTATTGTACTCACAGTGCAAACACTTTGGCATGTCCATAATTTTACTGCTCTGAGTCATCCCCTTGACATCTGTAAGATGACTAAGATAATAAAGTTCAGCATGTATGGAAGCATTTGCAGGAGTTTATAGCTCCCATAGTAATTTTTTATCCATGTTGCATAAATTAGTTTATTTTATTGCTTTTTCCCAAAGTTTCACGGATAAGTTACCAAATAAGATTGGGAGGGAGGTCACATTATCCATTCCTCTTCTTCAAGACAAGATAATCCAGAATTGCATAATTTTTAAGATTTGTCAAAAATGTTCTTGAAAACATCAAATGATAGTTCTGTGTCTCCTTATGAAATTTAAATATAATGTTTGATGAACTACATTAGTGGTAGCATTACTTTGTGTTCTGGTTTTGGCTTGAAAAGAGTTAATTTTTTTTAAGCAGCTAATGTGGGACTATGTTTCAGATTTGTGCTGGAAACAGTGTTGATAATTCAGGGATGTTTTCTTTTTTGCTGACCAGCACTTGCCCAGAGTCAAGGCTTTTTTCTCTCACACCATCATGCCAGARGTGGCCTAAAACTTTTACTTGCTTGACAAAGGTGTATTTGAGCAACTCAGTCTATTGTCTGTATGTCACTGGCAGAAAGATTAACTCGACATAATGAAGGAAATAGGCACCATAATTTTTTCACAATAATAATACACTGACAAAGATGTCACAGATGTCAAATAGAGGTAATTTCTTGTCCTGTTTCTCTGACACTTTTGAGYGAAGAGGGATCTCAGTGTAGCACTCACATAGCAGATTCAGCAGAGAGGATATTTAGAGTAAGGAGCCATTTTTACCTTCAATTTTTTCCCCACAGGAGTTAGCAGAATCCTGGAACAGCTAACAATTGCTAAAGCCTTTCACAATGAATAGTTTAGTGTTTAGATATATAAGATGTGTGTTTTGAATGATCTTCTGAGTTTTAGCAAATGCACTCACTCACTAACAAAGTTGCACTGATTTACCYGCACTAAGTAAATTTCTATAGGGGTTACATTCATTTTGTCTCCTTTCTTTATGTCATCTCACCATGGCCACACTAGGAAATGCCTTGGCCAAGAGAGATAGAGGCAGCCTAAAACTCAATAGATTTAGAAATTAATACTGTGGCCTGAAGAAGGATTGTATTCTCCTGTTTGCTGAGGACTTGTGCCTGCCAGTTTTACCTGAGCTACTTACACTGGTAARTATTAGGTACCATGTCTCTGCCACATCCTTGGTGGCTCCAGCATTATTGCTTCTTCTAACCCAAAAGCTGAGCTTTTAACTGCAAAGAAGCTTTACATTACAGGTGAATGTTCTCCATTCCTAGAGTGCTGGGCAAATAATGACTGCTRCATTTTTTGGGGCAAAAATTCACTGTGTTGCAGATAAAAATAATAATTTCAGGCTGAAATGTGTCTTGTTCAGTGGCATCTGCAGCAGTGTGTCCCTGCCAAAGGAATTTCTCTCCCTTTGAAGTTGCTGCTGTTAGAATCGTGGAAAAGATTGATGAGATAGGACTTCTATCTGACTTCACCTACTCCAAGCCATGCTCACAACAGGACTAATTTTAGGTCAGGTTGCTCAAAACCCTTTTTTCAAGGATAAAGACTGTATAACCCCTCTGGGTGATCTGTACCAATGCTTCACCTCTGTCACTGTGACATATTTTCCCCCCCTTACATTCCTTACACTCCTCTTGCGTTCCTTTTGCAGCTTGATTTTCTTTTTGCTTCTTTTCATTTGGCCAGACACCTAGGAGGTGAGTCTGGTGCCATCTTCTCTATTATTCCCCTTTTTGGGGAATTGAGAGCAGCTATCAGGTCCCTCCCATACCCCAATCTCTCAGGMTAACACAACCCCGACTCCTCGGCCTGTCTTGATACTCTTTATGCTCTGGATCTCTAACACCCTTGGTGGCCRTTCTCTGGGTCCTCTTCAGTGTCAGCAGCCTGAGGTCCCACACTTGGACATGGTGTTCCAGGTGCCTCATGCATGCCCAGCAGAGGGAAGGGTCACCTCCCTGACCTGCKGGCCACTCTCTGGCTGAAGCAGCCCAGTACGTGGTTAAGCTTTGCTGCTGCGAGGACACACCACTGACTCACATTCAGCTTGTCCTTCACCACACTCWTACCCCGACCAGCTCCACCAGCAAAGCTGGAAAGTCTTGAGCAGTTCCTTGGGAGACTACATCCTTCTTCCTTCAGTTTGCAGATGCAGTCAAACTGGAAGAAGAAGGAAGGGAAATTGCAGGTGCTTCCTTTACGGCACTGCATTTTTTAACCTGATTTCAGTGTTTTGCCTTGAAAGCGCAGCTGCTCTTTGGCTCATGCTTCAAAGCCTGAACTCTTCCCAGCTTCGAAGGAGGGAGGGAAAGCAATTGTATGGTTGGGGTAAGTGAAGACTGGCATTGCTGCAAGTTGAGGCATTGAACGGAACTATCCCTTTGTCTTTGGGCCGAGKAGGTGGGGCCTTGCAAGTTTTCAGCTGATCTGTATCTGATAATTATAGGAGATGCCTGAGGCACAACTGTGGGAGCTAATCGACAGCATTTAAAAAAACAAATCTAAGCAAAAAACTATTAAATCCTGCCATTTTATTGTGTATAAATTTGATGTTGAAAAATACCATAGGGAAAACARTCATGAAGTTCATGGGTCTTTCTTATTTTRTTTATACMTGTAAGGAATGCATGGTGGCAGAGTGCTGTAGCTGAATCAAATTTCTGTTAATTTATGAAAATGGGGATGCAATCTTTTGACAGACAAGTTTTTACAAGTGTTTTTGAGCAAAATACACARTTTTTTAAAAGTGGAACAAATGTAATTGTTTACAGAGCAGTACTGTCTGTAAAGTACTTGTAGTGCACTTTCAGGATCAATAGCAGCAAGCAGGTATTGCATTAACTGTGCTTCATCTTTCTGAATATTAAGATTTTGCATTCTGCYTTCTGTRCTCTTAAATAAGAACYCTCTTKCTGAGCCCTTGGCCTCCACACACAYRTGGTGCAGGTGGGCAGCGTGGCACCTGAAATTTCAGCTTCTCTGTCAGAGTGGCCCGCATGGAATAGTTGTGTATGTTCCTCCTGCCTTACTAATAGTTGGAATTACACCTGGAAACCTGCTTCATATTCTTTACTGAGCCTGATAGGACAGTAAAACTGTGAATAAAGCCGCACCAAGATTTATGACCTTCAGTTGGTTGTAGTGATTGCTGTAACCAGGCTCGTCTAGTCCAGAGCCCAGTCTGGATTTTAATGCTGTTTTCATCCTGACACTGCTTTTTAAAACAAATTAACAGTGCCTTTTTCTCCCTAACATCTGATGTCACAAGTCATAATTTTTTCTACAATTTGGAAATGCAGATTTACAAATCTCCAATATTTGGTCTATTTTGGAAATGCAGTGGSATTTTGGAAATATAGATCAAATTATGGAAGATGCCTTTCACTGAGRTTAAAGCAAATGAACAGAATTTCTGATAATGCCTCACATTTGCTTCAGTTCTTACTGATGGATTGCAGTAGTGTTTAGAAAGTTTGACTGCAGAAGCATTTCTGAAATTTGACATCATTACAGAACTGGTTGTRGTTCAAACTGAAATGTGCAAACCCAGCAATCTAAAATTAGGGTTCCAAATACTTATTTAGGTATTCAGTTAAGAACTGACACAGTTACCTGCCGTTGAATTCAGTAAAATTCAAAAAAATTATGTGGAAAGACAGTTTACCCTTGGCTAMACTTGAAGTTAAACTGAGTTCAGCACCAGCTGTAACTGCTTTATCAGCAGTGGGTAAATTTGCTGGAGTAGACAAAGCTTCTGAKTTTCTGGGTTTTTTGCTCAATAGGAAGCAAATTTATGACCTTTTTTTCATGTTTGAGCATTATAACTAAATCTATTTATTTCTGTCTCCCWGTTGTTTTTTGGAAGCCAGGAAAGACTTAGCAGTCTTAGCAAAAAAAAAAAACCAATTATCATTCTAGAAACATTTCACCATCCCCTTTCTGCATCAAGATTTTGTGCTGCACAGAAATAAACTAAGCCATGTTTTGGGGCCTCATGCATCCACCGTCCAGCTGTTGCAGATTTTATGATGAACTGCAGTTCATGTTTTTGGTGGAGGGGGACATAGTAAGTCTCTGTCTGGGCTCAGTGAGGTGAAGGTACTCAGAAAGGACGGGCAGGATCCCTTTGCTGCTCCTTCCCTTCTGAAAGAGGAGAACTGCAGGAGCTGATGGTGCCTCTCACATCTTCACTGCCATCTCCTTTTTAACATTCATGGCACTGTGCCCCAGAGCGGTCAGTGGTGCAGCGGGGCATGTGTGGTGCCCTTGCTGGCATCAGGGCTTTCCTTCTTGTCATTTTCATTTGCTCTATAGTGCCTTGGGGTGATAAGTGGTAGTTTTCTCTCCTTTGGGCTTCTGATTCAAGCTTTTCTTGTACTGTCTGTATTTTGCTCATGGCTGTGGCAAGAAAAATATACATGGCTTGGGCTGAGGTCTTGCCTTGCTCKATTTACCAGCTGTTCCTTCTTCAATAGCCAGGATACCCTTATCCAATACTGTCTTTCTTCAYAGTGGCTTTGCCTGAGGTTCTGCTGTTTTTCTTTCAAGTCCTCAAATTGAACAGCATTGTGCCCCAGAAAATATGAATTATTCCTATACCTTTAACCAGGTGTGCTTATCTGGAATTAAAATAAAACCAGACRTTTGTTCAAAGGTTTTTTGCTGTGATTATCAATCAGCCTCCTGGCAGCCTTTGCTAAGACAATCAGAGACTTCTGCCTTTTGGGGGATAACTAATTAATAGGATTGCTTGTATTAGAGTATATTGTCTTATCCAACAGTGAATATTTGAAAGCAAGTAGAAATGTAAAAMTAAAGAAGTCTTGAAAAACAGCTGTTCAGGCTTATGCCTTGTGGAGACTTGATTGATGTTTATAATTAAAATAATTTGTCAGTTTTGATAATGAGAATCTTTAATCGCAAATCCTGTACTCTGTAGAAATAGCAGTCAGCTGGATACTTTCCATATAATGTACTTTGGGAATTCAGCCCTCACAGGTAATAAATTATTAGAGTATTATGTTACAAAATCCAGTTTTGAAAAGAAAAAAAAAACCAAAAAACAAACAAACAAAAAAAAAAACCCGAAACCACAACCCATACACTTACAAGTTTCTTAGGAAAAGAAAATTACATACATTATTTTGGAAGTTTCTGATGTGTTTGCGTTGAAGRCATCCCTATAGTGTAACTGGAGATAGATTACAAAGCTGTACAAAAATTTTTGCCCCTGCGTTGTCATCACCACTGCCATGGCAGGAAAAATTKTGGGTCTGTTCCGCAGGGMGACCAAGCAGAYACAGGTTTCTTTAGCCAACAGCACWTGGTCACATACTCAGTAGAGTCTGCGAGATGGAGCACTTTGCTGCTGAAGAGGAATACTCAGCCAAAGGAAAACCTGAGCATTCCCTTTGCTCTGTCTGCTGTGTTGATGCCCTCCAGTTGCCATCCATGGACAATTAAGGATATGCATAAATGCTTCTAACATGAAACATCTCTTCAGGATTTTTTTTCAGTTTATTCGGAGAGTTGCACTTGCAAGCCAATTACACTCTGTGGAACTACCAGCTGCTACAATGATTTCCAGGGCTGGGATCTCATGCAGACAGCTTATTTCTCAGTTCTGTTGCTTCAGGTCATACAGAGGGGTGCTGCCAGCTCCCCTCCCTTGGGAAGATGACAGCCTTGCTGTAGCACCCTTACCTTTGGCTGTGCTTTCAGGAGGGCTGCATGTGGTGGTGATTTCCAGGAAATTCGAAATTGTGCTGCTTCTAAGGGATGTCTCAGGTGTGTTGTATAAGGAACTTGAGTTATTTCMGGCTTAACCTGAAAATCCCTCTGGAAATACAGCAAAGAGAGCAAAAAAGAAATGTCTCATCATAAGTCTCGTGAAAGCAAGAGCCAGGAGTTTTCCACTGGGYTTGTTATTACCCCATCACTTAGGAAAATAACAATACTGATTTGGGTAGAGGAAGTAATCTTTCTGTGTCACCTGATATAGCATTTGAAAAACTCGTCAAGATGAAGCAAATTTGATCTTTAAATACTATTTAGATTTAAAAATGAAAATGTTTGAATTAGAAAATTTTGGAGCTAAGTATCACAAATGCTTAAATTCTGTTTTGCTCATAATAATTTTTATCAAATAGATTTTATAAACCAACACAAATTTATTAATCACTTGGATAAAATTAAATGTTTCATTATTAAATAAAAATTAAAATATAACAGAAAAATTTGTCTTGGCCTATGAAACCATAAGCTGTTTTATCCTCAGTTTTTATAATTAATCTTATAAAGGTTTAAAATAAGTAATCATGTTAAATTTTAATTAAATCATTCAAATTTATTGACTACAGAGACATTAAAACCACTAAAACACTGAAAATCTGGAAATACTACAGTGCCACATGAACTGTACAGAAGCTTTTAATATCTTCAAATAATTTCAATTTTACTTTGGAGTCAGAACTGACTTCCTGCTACTTTCCTATGTGTGAAAACTTAACATTTGCTCTATAATCTCTTCTCTGCCTGTATCCTAATTGCTTGTCAGGCAGAAAGTCTCTCTGAAGTACTGTCCTCTTCATGGCAGACAGCAACAATTCCRTAGGATCTACCAAAGATGAGATTATGCTGTGATTTCCCCAAACAGYTGTGTCTGCTTCGTTATGAATAGAAGCTGTCGGGGACTATATCCAAATCTTAGTTCTCACCCTCCCCAATCACATTAACAAACTTCTCACATGCCTGGGTGAACACTTTTCCACCACTTTTAATTAATTCAAATTGTGCATTACCAACTCCAAAAGGTTTATTGGATTATTTTTTTTTAATATCCTAGTATCAGCATTCAGCTTCTGTCACCATTAGAAACAGTTCTTCATGAAGATTTGGGCTTCTCAGGGAGGTATTCCCACCTCCTTTGCATCAGTGCTGTGTTTGTTTCATCCGTTGGCAGTGTGCAGCCCTGGCGCTGGATGCGGTGCTCTCTTGTCTCCCAGAGGAGGCCTCAGCAAGGCTTTTCCTGCTTTGCCAGYTGTCCCCAGTGGCATTTCTTGGGACAACTGTGCATATCAGAAGTCATCTGTTCCTTCCAGCTCTCTGTAGTAACTGTAAAAATCGCATCTGTTTCCCRCCTCGTACAAATACATGCCTCATCTGCTTTCATCCTCTTCCTGCACTGGGCAGACAATAGGAGTGTCTTTCTCCTGGGCCAATATTTCTTCCTTAGGGCCATCTTTTGCAGGAGTTTATCTGTGGGTGTTGTAATGCATGCAAGGCATCTCATCCAAGATGCGTGCTTGGAGTTTAAGAACTTGGAGCTCTCCATCACAATCGCCTTTGAGGGAAATGGCTGGCGCCTTCTCACTTAGTGCTTTGAACCGACTTGTGATTGAGCAGTCATAGCTGCCTTCTGCTGGGATCAACACCCCATCAAGCCTCTGGAYTCCTGTCTGAGCCATTGCTGAGAAGGCTGGGCTGCAGCTCCCCCATGTGCACCACAATTGTAGGGTGATTTGRGTTGAAAGGGGCCTTAAAGTTSGTCCAGTTCCAACACCCTGCCATGGGCAGGAAYGCTTTCCACTAAACCAGGTTGTTGAAAGCCCTGTCCAACCTGGCCTTGAACACTTCCAGGGGTGGAGCATCCACAGTTTCACTGGGCAACCTGTGCCAGGGCCTCACCACCCTCAGTGTAAAWAATTGCTTCCTAGAATCTAATCTACATCTTTCTTCTTTTACTTTAAAACTGTTTCCCTTCGTCCTATGCCTATCTGCTCACACAAAAAGTCATTCTCCCCTTTTTTTATAAACTCCTTTTAGGCACTGAAAAGCAACAGTGAGGTCTACCTGGAACCTTCTCTTCTTTAGGCTGAACAACCTGCCTGTGTAATCCTGTTTCTTGGGCAGCACAACTCCATTGRGTTGAGAGCATTTACCTTGCAGGAGCTGGCAGCTGATGGTGGATGCTGGTCCATGGCTCTCCTTTTGCAGTCTACTGGCTCTGCCCCAGAAATTCACAAATCCATTGGTGGTGTGGGGTCTTTTGTTGTTTTGGTTTTTGGTTTTTTTTTGAGGGGGGGTTGTGCTTTTTTTTTCTTGTTTCTTTGTTTGTTTTTTGTTTGTTTGGGGGTTCTTGTTTTGTTTTTGTTTTGCTTCTTGTTTTTTTAATGGTAGTAGCAAGAGACATCCGTTCAGTGGCAGCTGGTTAATGAAGTGTTCAGGTACCTCTCATATACATTGTACTGAAAGAGCAATCTGCCTAARCCATGCACAGTGTTACCAGAACACCCAGATGTTTTTAGTTTATTGTGCAGTAAATATTCTGCTTTTAAACTTTCAGCACCRGGATGGGTAAACAGCTGTAACAGCCTGCATTCTCAACACATTTCAGGTTTTATTTCTTTRTTTTCATTTTTATTTCTCCATGTGTTTTGAAAATTCCTTTGCATATCTCAAATTATTTTTGTTCTATTTTTGTGGCATTTTGAAAACAGAGCRAACAACCAACACTGTAATTCTTCACCATTTTTATAATTCGATGTCTGCTGAGGATAACAATATTTCTACACTGTTTTTTTAACCAAAAAAAGCACTGTTGTTACTATTTAGAAGCAGGCCGCTGCTTTCGTTTTCCAGCCAGTTATATTTTACAAACTTGAGCTCTGCTGATGCAGTCCCTGCTGAGTGTCCTGGGGCAAAAATCATCCAGCTCAGCTTCTTCTTCCTGATGTTTCCAGAGGTCAGGGTGAGACCTGCTGGCCAAATGCAGCTTGTAGTGTAGTGGAAGAACTGCAATATCAGATGGGAAGAAACTCTTGTAGACATCTTTCCTATGTCATCATTAAATGGACTCAAGTTTAAAATAGCATCTCGTAAGAGTTAGGCATCTTAAAAGGAAACYCATACTGCTGGAGTTAAACAGAAATATTTAATTCTGTTTCTGGCTCCTTGAACTTTCCTTCTCMCTGTAGGATTCATAGTTAACCATTGTCTGGTGGATATAATTTTGTCATGTCCAGCACATAACCCTGTAAAAGGTTTTGGTTTTTTCACCAATACAGTTATTGCATCCTGCCAAGATGCTGTGACATGGAGAGCTATGATTTCATTTTTAGTGATTCAGAGGGGATATTTTTACATTATATGGAATCAAGAAAATTTTATCCATATAAATGCTTACATATACCAAATGCAGTCTTTAAGAGTGCAGGTATGTYTCTTGTCCAGAGTCCCTGGTGATACTTTGCTAAGTAATGTACTAATRTCTTCATTGGGCTCCAGTCTCCTCTTTCCCCCTTCTCATGTGCTGAGGAGGGCATCTGAAGAGTTAGGAGGCTCATATCCCTCTCATCTCAGAGCATTCCTGCACAGCAGGGAGTGACCTCACATGTGTCTATATCAACCAACATCAGTCAAGAGAGGTGAGTAATAAAAAATAGAAGAAGAGCCAGCAGTACCCAGACACAGCWGAGACTTTTCATCTCACTGACTCCAAAGAGCATAGTGAAGTTGAGCCTGGACACTGCCATTTAAAATAAACTATCCTGCAGAAAATCCAAGCCAAAGCTTTTTAAATAGCAGCTATTTACAAAAGTGTGAYCAAATCTAAGGTCCCAAATGTATCACAAAACCATGTATCTTACTTCCAAAYAGGTCTATCACAATGTGTAAGTGCTCAACACATTGACTGGACCAATCTCCAAAGTTTGTATCCCTGAATGGAAAAAGTGGATTCATAAGGCATTGATTTACATAGAGGGTTGATTATATTTTTATATTATTTAAGTAGGAATTCTGTGCTATCAGTATGTTCTGTAGTAACATGGAGCCTTGTATTATTTACAATCATRTAATCATTATTCTATGCATTCATTGTACTGGCAGCTGTGAAACACATTAAGAAGTTAAGCACRCAATATTCTGCAAAAAAGGAAAATATCTTTGGGTAATTGTATAGATGTTAATTGTAAGAATGTATTGGGTTYTTCAGATCTGTGACATCCCTAATCTGAGACTGGATGTCACAAGAAGAAATGAAATTGCAATGTTGGGTGCACAGAGTCCATTATGAAATGTGTTAGCATGAGCCACCTGGGAACTGTGGAGCATTTTCCAATTTCTAGTGTCTATGTTTTTTTTGATGAAGGAYATGAACACACAGGGTGCAAGAAATATATCAGAGAGTGAATTTAGGCATGGAATAGATAGAAGTCTCACTTTCATCTTGTTGGAGGTGATGAAGGACAAAATCTGGGCTCCTAMAGCCACATGTGTGAGGGAGCCAAAAGGAGATGCACTGTTTTGGGACTAGTATATAATCCTCTATATTTAAAAAAGYATTCATCTGTCTCAGAAAAAAATATATTTTTTTCTTTGCAAGCCTCCAACCATGGCTTTTGCTTTCTTGTAATCTGTAGATCTGGCTAACAAATGTCAAAAGGGTTGGGGTATCAGCACAAGAATGGCARTGACTTCTACAAGACAAGGAGAAAAACCCATAAATAACTTCTATGGACCTGGAATTTTATTATTTATGGCTAATCTATACTGTGATACTTTGAATGCTTCAGTAGCCACTCTTGGTGTAATAATTGTTGAAGCAAATGAAAAGGTTTAGACCCTCAAGACTGGATCCCACCCTCACCTGGTGGTTTTTGCCTATATCCAGTTGTAAACCTATGTGTTTTAAAAGCAGTAGGCACAACTCTTCTAACCAGGTAAGTTTTTGCTGCGTAACTTCTCAAGTCAGAGATCTGTGTTACACTAAGGATCTTTGCTGGGAGCAAAGCTGTGACTGAAACAACATTTAAAGTGTTTGAAAACKATCTGTCCTGGGGTTGTACCTGGGAGTGCTGTTGATTTTAACTTTGATTTAGTTAGCATGATTGCTGACATCAGTGTCATGTTGTCTGGTTGGGTTTTTTGTTTTATTTGTGTTTGGTTTTCTTTTTTTCCCTGTAGGTTGGCTGGATTAACTGGCTCTTATTCAGAGGGAACTTGGCAGATCTATTTTGCTTTTGTTGAACCTCTCTACAGCACAKCATAAAGATTTCCTAGGTCCAGAAGCTGCAGAAAAGACAACTGAKCAGCAGAAAAATGTGAGTCTGAGAAGAGACTTCAAGCCTTCTGATGATAAATTTTCTACTGATCAGTTCTAATTTAAATACATAACCGAAGCATGCACAAAAGTTACACTGATAGAGGAAAACACTGTCTTGTTAATTAGGACAGCCAAAAAAAAAAAAAAAAGTAGTCACCTGAAGCTTCAAAATGAGTGCTCCACTAATTCCAAACAAGTCATGTTATTCCCAGCTTCAGGACAACCGCAGTGAAATAAGAAACAATAATGAAAGCATAGTGAGCATTGGGGATACCAATGCCAACCAAATTGTAACAAAAGTTAGAGCCACTGATGGGGATGTTAAGAAACATGATTTGACAGATGRGAGTGGGAATATATATTCTGGAGGAACAGAGAAAATTTCTCATCTGCCTACAGAACAGAATAAACTTCTGACCTTCAAAGACTCTCGGACCTGTCACAGCAGCGTACAGGAAAGCAAGCTGCCCTCTACCACAAGCAGGGAAATGGGGAAGGATTGTAGGAGCAGCGAAGCTAAGGATTTATCACGGCATATCAGGATTAGCCGAGGACAAAGTYTGTCCAATTTAAAAAGTAGCACAAATGATACCAGCCTGGAGGTTGTCTCCAAAGGTGATGTTGACTTCACCCAGAACTTTTTTAAGGGAAAAATTTCCAGGACTGTGGAGGTGGAGAGAATAAAAAGGCTTTCTTTGGGAAGACCAAGTAAATTCTCTTCTCAGCCTGAAACATTTGCGAAAGATGTTGGCCGCGTGTCGTGCAAACGTCTGCTTTCTGCATCACTGGACTCCATTGACAGGTCTCACCATTTGGTAGGAAGTACAGAGAAATCACAAAAAACATCCACGGACCATTTTCTTGGGATGGTGTTTCGTCCACTTGACAATACCTCAGACGAAAATACTGTATTTTATTCCAAACAATCTACCTCAGGGAACAGGAAAACAAGCAAACCAGAAAATGTACCAAATGTTAGCAYTGAAAGCACACTGCATGCTTCTCATTCTCAACATTCAGCTGTTAAGCTGAATGAGGTTGCTAGTAAATCAGAAGCACAATTAGGTCAGGGTGATAAAAGTAAAAAACTGGAGCTTAAGTCTGCACCATCTCTACAATACAAAAATACGTGTCCACAAAAGATAGAGAGAATTATGTTGGTAGAGCTCCTGGAGGGTCAAAGAGCTGGAAATACAGCAGCACAGGAAAAGAAAGGCTCTGGGTCTGACATGTCAAAATTTCAAGTGTCCCATTCTCAAGACACTTGTAATAAAGTAGAGGACCCATTGTCAARCCAGGGGTTAACTCATCCTGATGATAAATTGCAAAGTGGTAACATCACCATCAGTGAGGAAGGGAGAGGAAGCAATGACAGTGACAGCAGGGCAATCAGCCAGGCCAGTGAGGAATATTCCACTGATGAAGAAATGGAAACAATATTTCCACTCACCTGCAGTAGTAAATGCACTATTAAAGTGGCATCTAAAAAAAACAAAAATTTGCTTGAAGCTGACACAGGTTGCACTGAGACAGCGGGTGAACAGATATGTCCTGTACTAAATACTAATCCACCTGACAGCAAGCMCTTGAAATTTAATGAGAATAAAGTGATGCTAGTCAAAGAAAGCACTGAGGCTGCTTCTGTGCCTGCCCCTGATCCCTCAGATCATCACAGAGCAGGTAATGCAGAGACAGCATCAAACCAACAACCTGACAGTCACAGCAGTCGTGTGGAAACCTCAAGTGCTTCAGTTTCAAGCGAAGAAACAGCTAATGGACAGAAACATCCTCCGGAGGAAGCGCCAGAGAGCTGTAACCTTCCAGCAAAGGCTGATGTCTTTTTATGTGTCCCAACTCCCGTGTGCCCGGTGACAACGCTGGATGTTAATGGTCAGCCCAYGCTACCAAACAGTGATTTGAAGGATCTTTATGCACTTCATCATGACAAACTGTCACCCTCCTCAGTCCTACCTCCCACTGACAGCACACAGTTGTTAAACATATCCCCCAAAGTGCCTATCAAGACTGCTTGCAGCAGCGCCATCCCAAAACCTATCTTGGTCCACCCCAAGGGCTCTTTCACAGATAAGGTCAATGTGGACAGTGACTGCAATGAAAAGGTGGAAGAAAGCATSGAGATAAAACCTGCCATTCCCCGGCCCAAACCTGTGAGACCTAAAATCATCACATACATCAGGAGAAACCCTCGTTCAATGGAGCAGCTTGACCCTTTGCTCGCACCGGCAGGGCTGCCCTTCGACGGTCCTGCGTGCAGCGTGCCCATCTCCGCAGAACAGAAGGCGGCCAACGGAGGGGAGGCGAAACCCACCAGCAKCCTATACGACAAATTTAAACCTGACCTGCAGAAGCCAAGGCTCTTTGGCCCTGGACTAGTGGTGTCAGGAATTAGGCCCCCGGGTCATCACTTCAGTTCGATGAGCGAGAAGTTTCTGCAGGAGGTAAGTTTCTGTGGCTTTGATAGCTGCTACAATGGGCTAAGTGRTGCTCATTTGCTTATTTGTTGTTGCCAGAAGTTAGTTCTCAAAGCTCAAATAAGAATTAAATCCTAAGGCAATGTGTGAGAAATAAACTCAACTGTTTCTGGCACTGACCCTGTTGTGATATCTTAGCTGTGACTGGAAGTTGTCAATGTGCTCTTCCAGAATTTTCCAGCTAATTGGTCATCTGCTAGTATTATAAATAGGGATGTTTAGAAAGGCAAAGCCATGCRGAATTGATTTTTTTCTTTTTCCTTYCCTAATTGTGGAAATTATTGTAATTTGCCCACAGAGATTTTTCCTTCCTAATGGGAAAGTGTCAGGTTTTTGTAGATAGAGCACTAGAGGTCTAAACTAATTCCCTTCTGTTTAGCTGTACTGAATYCTAGGGACTATCAGAGCTCTTTTTGGATTATACATATCATACGGAAGATTTACTTTTGACTAACTTTAATGCTGTTTCTAACATTGATCTGCACTTCAGATAAGATTTGTCCTTTTCCCTGAGAGCCATCCTAAGTAGCCAAAAGGAAATGGAAATCCCTGTGGCCGCTTCTGGCTCCTGATATCTCATTATGTTTCTGCCTTGCTAAGCTGGGCAGGAGTCTTTGTTTGCTGAAATCCCTGCTGGGAGGTGAGCACACTGGAGGAAGGATGAGCTTGCCTGGTAGGTGGAAAAAGGACAGGGTAGAGGAAGCTGCATTCAGGTCTGTCATGTGCTCTTATGTCCACTGCATGGGACCTGTGATAGTTTAGCAACCAAGCTTTTCATATAAATACTGAAGATAACATAAGAGATTTTATTTGAATGAGTCTCTAGAAAAAGGGCTATGGTTTTTTTCTCTGTGTCTGTCTTGTGGTGTTATTTTACTGTTTTCTTCATTCTATGTACAGTGTTGATCCAAGAAACAGCATTGAAATAATGAATTTGGTGACAGTGTTGGCAGTCAAAAGCTGGCAAATGACCAAATTAAGATGCTGTTTGTGAGTGTAGATTGACCCTTTTGGCATATTAACCAAAAGCCTACTGAAGTGAGCCAGGATTATAGTTATTTCTTATCACAAACACAGAAAGAGCAGTGCCTGCTGTCCCTCTGACTTCAGTTTCCAATTCTGTCCTTTATGTTTTGTGTGAATGAATTACTAAAGACATTGGGAGCTTGTTCATTCCAGCCATTATTATTATATCTTCACAATTGCCTTGTAAGGGGAGGGGCAATAACTAGGTTATTACCGTTTGACCCATAGCAATGGAAATTAAAGCCAAAATTGTCCCACACTGTGCTGAGTGTTTATAGGGTGACATGACCCTCTGAAGACTTCAGGTGTCCATGACAGTTGGGATTCCGATAGTCAGGGAGGATCAGCAGACACATMTGTGAACAAAGGACAGATTTCTGTGCACTGCTGAGGGCTGTTTTTAGCACGAGAAGGACTCAGGTTGTGCCAAATCTGCAGCATGGTTTTCTCTAGACTAGGGTTAGAAGTAGGGCACTCRTGGGCTGGAAAGGATCCAAAGCAACTTCCCCTATTCCTCCAAGAAATACGACTTTTGTTGGTCATTTCAACGAGGGAAAATCTGAACCCAAGCCAGCTGCTTCTTCAGGGAAGCTGGATTGGCTGGAGAAGAGGCTGAGAAGAAAAAGTCAAGCTGTGTTTGTGTTATGAGTTTTCATTACCCTGGGAGTCAGGAGCTGATAGCAGAAGGTGGAATTTTCTTTCTCAGACTGCCCCCCTAAAAGGAATAACCTGGCTTTCCTGACAGCTGGAGGAATAAAAAGGGGCTCGRTTGGGTTCAGTATGGATCAAGAGAAAGGAAAATGATCAATCCATGGAGGTGAACAGCTTAGAAGAGCAGCTGCGCACAGTGTGGGTTCATAGCAGATGAGTGATGTGTAATCCAAAAGAAACCAATTAGGATGCATTGAGATGGATCACAATCACTGTGCTGAAGGGAGAGTGTTGAAGACTCAGAGGTTTTGGACACAAGGAGACTCTGGCMTGATGACCACTATCTTGGTGAGAGAAAAAATCCCAGACTGACCTATTTCACACATCCAGTTTGGTCTTTGTTTTATGTATAGTCAAACCAAAAATTTCCCCCCATAATCCTTTTATTTGAACTGCCTGAACTGATGTTGCCAACTCTTTTCCCAAAGAGTTGCCTGAAGCAGGTACTTGACAAGCAAATTCTTCCTCAAGGCATTCATGTTTGATGATGTTATAAACAAAGTAACATGAAGGAAAGTGTTGGGCCTTAATACCTGCCGGCCACACTACCAGCTCTGCTCGGGAATAACCGGCCTGAGGAAATTCCTGTATGCTCAAGGTATTTGTTGCAGACTTTCTAGCTCATTCTAACAAATTCATTAAATGGGTTTGTAGGGAATTAGCAGACAACCCCACAGAAGAAAAGTTTGGGCTGATCACCTTTTTAGTGGACAGGCTGCAATAGATCATTTCGCTACAAGTCCCTCATAAAAAAAATCTGGTGCAGGGTACTAAATGGGATCATATTAATCCRTATCTCTCTGAAGAGTTTTAAAATGGCAATAATTTTATACAATACTATTGAGACTAGTTGAATTTTACACTTCATGAATTCACTGTATCATTCAGTTAAATAGAAAGGAAAAGATAATATAAAAACTGCTATCTTCACAGCAAGTTTATGTCCCCCAAAACTGAGGTCTTCAAAAAATAGCATCTAATTCTTGACAGATGTTTGGGCAAATTCAGTTGGACTTRCTTGTCTTAARGGTATTTTCCAGTCTAAATATTCTATTCTAAGTCCTTCTCACATCTCTCAGCTTGAGAAGATGTTTTATGCTTATGGTTGATTGTTTTTGCATCCATTTTTGTTGCCCTTCTCTGTTACTCCTGGCATACTATCAATAAAGAAAAAGAATGGTTTGAGAAGATTTGAATAAACTGATCCAGTTTATAAAAAAATGCATATTTTCTGCATTTAAAGATTTTTGCTTTTCCTTATACTGAAATACTTGGCAGTGGTGTTTCACATCCATTTAAATTTGAAATGATAGTATGCATAGTGTAATCTGATAGAAATAAATTTATCGGGGGGGAGAGAAGATAACTGAGGCTTATCCAGAAAAACCATCTCATGTCTAGCAGTTGAAAGTAGAAGCCAGACATCTGCAGTCCAAGAGATGTCTAGAGAATCACATATGCAGTAAAAAACTGCATGCCAACTTGTCAAAAAAGGTCATAGAAGTAATAAAAAAGGAAATAATAAATTTTAATAGATTTAATAAATTTTCATAATAAAAAAGGAAACAGGAAGATCTAATGACAGGAAATAGGACTGCAAACAGAGGAAAAAAATATAGGGCAAAATTATAAATCTCAGTGTTTGCACAGGAACTAGGAGCTCCTAGTTCCTGTGCAAAGGCYTCAAAGATTCTATATTTCATAGTTTAAGGCCAGTCTTGTCTCTTAGCATATTAAAGATTTACTAAATTACGAATAAAGCTCTTGAAGGAACTAGGATCAAAGCTTTTATAGCCAGTGTTGAAGTGCATATTCTAATGCTTATAATTGCTAAATAGAAATTGATTTGGCATATTATATGCATCATAACTTACAGCACAGTTAATTAATTGGCAGTTACATTTCTTCCTAGGTAGCCTGTGGCACTTTTTGATTAATTTTTAAACAAATTTAGTTCAGATTTCCTATTTCCTATGTTGGTTTTTTTTTTCCCTTGGCCTAAATGGGATGACTGAGAAAATATTCATGGGTCCTTTCTACATTACGATGACATTACATTTTATATGAAAATGGAAAAGAAACTGCACTCTATTCAGAAAAGCAAACAGTTCTTTGCAAATGTGAGAGATGAAAACTCTGGACTCCTGTCCCGAGTCATGAAGCGGCACAGAAAGGTGGGAGTCAGAGCCCAGACTGAGTGCACAAAGATGCAAGGGCTGAATCAGAGAGCCAGCTCATTCCTTGACTACAAGTTCAGTGCTATGAGCCAGTCTGCTGGAAATATTCCAGCCTGGGACTTACTCTGCTGTCCTTGCAGTAAATGCCCATTAAAATATGGAGAGATTTGTCACTGAATTTAACAAAGCAGTGTCTATTTGTGATGAATAGTAAATGTTTGACATCTTCAAATCTGATAGGTTTTTTTCTCTTATCCACATGAGCAGATGAGTTTTGTAGCTCTAGTTTGTAATATGCAACTGGCCTCTGAAAATGTAAGTTAGAGAAGTGTGCTCACCTACACAACCAGATTTCTTTCCAGGAACTAGAGAAGCACAGATTACAATAACCATTTTGCTGTGAGAACATACTGGGGGCTCTTTTTTTCTCACAGAAAGTTTTTGGCAGTACAATTTCTCTGATAAAATGAACTTAAAATACCTCCAGCTTTATATTTAGCTAACTGAGTCAAAAGCAACTTTTCCTAGAATTGTGTCCCAGTAAGAATATTTTAAATAATTTCTAATAAATGTTCTACTTGTGCACTCTCTTGGGGTATCTACCTCTGTGAGTAAAATAACCTTTCGTGACTTAACAGTACCTTCATTTTCAGTAATTGAAGGTCTTCCATTTKTCCGTTTTCTTTTGGGGAAGGCATCAATTCTTTATTTGGGTGTAGGTGCATGTTGAGAGTGCAATATGCATCTTTTTGAAGAGCAATACATATAATAAGACCATAACTTCTTGGGAGTTTGGAGTGCTCTCAAGACCAGATTCACAAGGAAGGAACTTCAGTCTTTATAAGCAATTTAAAGCTCTATGTTGTCCGCATTTTTTTGATTAAATAATATTGGTGTTCATKGTTTTTCTGTAGGTTGGGGAAAGGCCTGCGAAAGATGAGTTCTGCCCTCCACCATACGCTCACTACGAGGTCCCGCCAAGCTTTTATCGCTCTGCCATGATACTCAAGCCTCAGCTGGGACTGGGAGCAGTGTCCCGGCTGCCATCTGCCAAGAGCAGGATTCTCATCGCGAGTCAAAGATCCTCAGGTAGCTGTCTCCATCAGCAAGGAGAAATACCAGGTGCTCCCAGCCTCTACCATCCTGATGCTTCAGGTAAAGTATGAACTTYCTTTACTTTCCCTTTACTGTAGTCACCAATATGATACTTTTTTTGAGACAGAAAAATCACAAAATGAGCAACAATTTGACCTGATACTACAGAGCTCCAACAGCACTCTTTAAGGTGTGTCTTTTTATCCTGCAGCAAGGCTGACTGGGAAATCTGGGACTTGTGCAAAGGTTGTTTAGTAAGTCATTGCCAAAGAAAGASAGTAGTTTTCAATAATAATTCTCATTTTTCACCTTTTTACCTTCTTCCACCTGGTAAATGCCTGAAAAGTCCTTTTTTTTTTTTGTTCTGGGGAAGAAAAYGGGGCATTTTCTTCCATCATGAAGACTCCACTGTTCAGTCTGGACAGTCCTCAACTTCCACAACCACTTTTTTCACAACCACGTTGTACTCTGAAAACCTGGGCTGTGTTGAAATGTGCCAGCAGAGGTCTTGATTCTCTGAAGGCCTGGTGTACACCTCTTTGGAGACAACACTTTTAATACCTTTTTMTTCCCAGTTACTGCCCAGCTCAGCATGACCCTGGGCAGAATCACAGGGGAGGGAAGAACACAGGAAGAGCTGGAAGGAGAGGTGTATAATGCCATAARAAAGAGACAGTAATTGCTACTACAGGTCACTCCTGGGTAGCCTGGAAAAGTGTGGAAGTTTGAACAATGCACATTTAAACAGGAACGAGTTCAGAGACAACCAACAATCAGTCACTGCCAGAGTGAAATGTAACAGCCTAGAGGTCTGCAGAGATTTTTAAAAATAATCATAAGGACTAAAGTTAATTAATTACTTAAGGTCATACTCTCCCTCCTCTTGCCCCAGGATGGAATTCCTTCTGATGCATCCTTATTTAAACTGTTCATAAAAACTCTTTTATAAAAACCTTCAGTATGAGATCCTGGAGTCTCTGAAAGCAGGGCTGCTCCAGTCAAGTTAAAATTGYTCCCTAGTGTTTTGCATAATCCCCTTTGTTACAATTTGCTTCCTCTTTCATCTGGAGTCGTTGTGGGGTCTCTTTCTCTTTGCAAGTATTTGAAAACTGTCTCTCCCTAGCATCCATTTCTTCATACTAAGAAGCAGGAGAAATTTACAGAAATTTAGAATGGAAATGCACTAGAGTGTCTTGACTTTATCCTGAGAGGACAATCTCATTCAGTAATACAGGTTGACAGGATTTGGGGTTTATCAGAAAATCAAGGTTCTCTGKAACATGGTGCCTCTTGCCAGTATCCTTTACTATCTGCCCCTGCATCTGGAGTTTATCTGTGTCAATGCTGTTAGCAGAAGCTGACCAAACTTAGCTCTATGTGACTTCTGAGACACCCCAAGATTGCAGGTTGGGTAGTAAATACCTTTTCAGCCCTGGGAGTTCAGTCATCATTGAAAAGGGAATACAGGTATTGGGAATAATGTCCATTTAAATGAAACTGCATGAGTCTGTGATATGGATAGGAGTAGGGTGAGCCCTTGTGTAACAGGAACCCGTTTGGGAGATAGATATGAGAGAAACAGGACCTATTACCAAATAAAGGGTCTTTTCTGATCCTCAGAAATGAAAACTGCCTTCACTTTATTCATCCATCACCCATCCATTATCCGCATTACCCTGCACATTGATGCTAGCAGAMATGACTTTTCCTTAGCCACTTTAAATCTGTATAGGAGCTTGTCTTCTATGTGTTCATTTATTGTCTTCCTATGTTATGTGGCATTCTAAAATCTGAACAGGATCAGCTTGTCAGTCCTACTTTTTGTTTGTAATACTGCCTTTAAAAATGCCAGTGCGTGAGACTAAAGTAACATACATCATTAAATTGCACTAGCTGTTACTGTGATTCTATTCCACTAAAGTTGTATTTCTTAATATTTTCATATTTCACAAAGGTTTTTGTTGTTGTTGTTGTTGTTATTTTTAAAATTTAAAAAAATTATTAGTTTTTTTATCACTGAATATTTTTTGGACCTTGTCTGGCTTGGAAATCAAATTTGATTCAAATATTTGAGTCAAATAACTGTCCATAATTTCCTTCCTACAACTATTGTTTTGTTTTTCTCCAGTCTATTAATACGTCACTGTTTCAAAAAAAGTATTAAAGATAACTCGTGGTAGTMCAATAATCTATCTGTCATCTCTTTCAGGGATCCCAAAGTGTATCTCATCTTGTCTTTGGGCTCTGACTTTTTATGGATTTTRAATTACACAAGACTTGTTCTGGAGAGGTTACTAATGCCTCTWGTTTTTCACTGTCCACCCCAGGACACACTGTTTTCATTTCTGGCATCTCACCTTTCATTTTCCTTGCAAGATGAAGAATGTGTTTWATTTTTCTGCAATGCCTTACTCTGTTGCAAAGTACTTTTCATTGCTCTCTTTTGGTTCAATACCTCTCCTTATTTATCTTTAGTGTTCTTTTCATATCTTATTTTGGTTTCTTTGCATTCATTTATTTTTGGAATTTTATCCAATTATCCATTCAAGATTGACTTTTCAAAAGTCCCCTTTTCCTTGACCAAAGCCTTTTTCCTTGTGTGCCTCAAATGACTTAATCTTTCTCYCAGCAAAGCATAACTTCATAGGTCAGCTTACCAGTCTTTTTGTCTTTAATGCTTCCTTTTAAGAGGAATGGATTGCTGATGAAAGAGGCTCAGGTAAAGGAAAGGTAGAGGTAAAGGAAAGAGAGGAAAAGACTGGAGTACAAAGGCATCAGACAACTGATTCCTGTGCCTGAATCCACAGCAGAGTACAGATGCAGACCAGAGATGGCTTTATGGTTGCCATGGAAGGGATGGATGGGACAGCAACCCCTGGCATGCCAGAGCTGTTGGGGTGTTAATTATGAGGGGCCCATAGTAGGGCCAGGCATCTTTTAGCCAACTGTATTAACGTACACAACACCATTTTAAACCACTTTCCCTTAATTTAACTGTTATTTGTGGTGTTATTTGCTGAACATTTGATCTGCATCRTTGGTTTTGCTGCACTATTTGTAACACAGGATTAAATGCAGCTTTGACAGAGTCATATTTGCAAACATGAGCAAATGACATGCATGAACATATGCTCAGAGTCCTGGGTGCAGAGCCAGTGGGACTTGCTCATGGATGTTGTGAGGTGTGAGAGCTTGGGTAACTGCAGCAAAAGCAGCGCAGGACYAAAGGGTATTTTTCTCTCAAGGATACCAGACCCGCTATGGAGATTGCTAATCAGYGTCTCTTGCAGCTTGATCCTGAGCTTTTAATCCAGTTTCCAGTCCTAGTGATAGCAGTCCTGGCCTGAGGTAATGGAAAAAGAAGGAGCTAGCCAGCTTTGTTTCTTGTAACAAAGTGTGAGATACCATGGAGGCATTTAAACAGAAATCACCATGGCACAGTATCGAGGAGAGCAGCAGTGCCTCGTAATGAGGATTTAATTCCCCTTTGCTGTACCATTCATAATGCAGCAGTCTGGCTAAGCAACACTGATAAGCAGAGTGGTTTGGCCCATGTATAATACTAATCCTCATAAAACTGGCTCTGAAGCAATTGACAATTAAATCCCTGAACTGCTGTGATGGACTGCAAGTAGTACAAGAACATAAAGGGTTTTGTTAGTTTTAAGTTATACCAAGTAGAAAGTAAAATAATGGTGAGTGTTCCCTCAGGTGTGATCTGTAAATRTGATGCTTAAAATTTGGTTGGAGCAGAAATCTTTCTTCATCACTRAGACATAGGACACGTGGTGGCATTGGCTGAGAAATTCCTTTATTAAGCAGTGCTGCTCCTTAGGTGATGCCTTGCCTCAGGTGGGTCACACAGGCAGCCTGACTGTAAGAAAMAGCACTCTGCAAAGTAGGCAAAATAGGAAGTCATTGAATCTTGATGTACTTACAGGTGCCATAGAGTCTCTGAAAGCTTAACATTTGTCTATTTTATGTAAATAGGCTCTGCTCTTTCTATAGGAAACWTGTAATTCAAAACAAGCATTGAAGGATGCTGTGTCTATAACATGTTAAAATATTAATATGTTTTCCTTGGTTATGAAGACTACTTGAAGCAAGTGTGTTAACATTTGTATTCATTTGCTGATTATTTTGATGGAATTAATGTCTCTTTTTGAAAAGTATAACAGACATCTCATCGTTAATACTTCACTTTAATTATGCTCATTAATTTAACTTAACTTTGTATTTTTCAGTAGTGTTTAGGGTATTTTTTTTCTCAAACAGTGAGTTAATGAAATGTTATTTCCTTATCATCTCTCTCTTGTCAGTCCCAAGAGTCTAGCTGCTCCTCTCATTTCTAAGCAAGTCAGCTTTCGTTAGGGATAGAATTTACCCATAAAACAGGACATCAATATTTCTCATTACTCAGACAGACACAGATATATACATTTGTGTATTTGCATATGTTTAATGTGTTCCATCTCAAATACYGCAATATGTCTGCAGCTTTCTCCCAGTAGGAAAGCTTTATTTTCATGTTTATTCTYAGGAATAAACAACCTAATAATGACTTAATAATTAAACATGCAAATGAGAGTTAGKGATAGAAAAGAGGTTTTGAGGTTACTTACTGAAATATTGCTCTTACTGCTGCTCCAGCTCTGTCTGTACTTGCAGTCTGAAGTACTTGGATTTAGACTGGCAACTTCGTAACTGTTTAAGGAAAGAGGGAATGAGGGAATAGTTCAGAGAGGAAAATATTCTCTGTCCTCCCCTAGTCTGCAGTTTTCATTTGAYACTCTCTGTTTTCTTTGAGGGAGCAATCTGACTTTTTCATTTAAAAAAAAAAATTAAGTTTCAAGGGGACACACGCACGTCTTCATTTTTTTTTTTTAAGGACATTGTCATCTTACTTGAGACATAGCCATCTGCCACCTCTCTGCTCCAATTACTGCATCTTCGAGGAGCTAAACCCCATCATATAAGAAAGGCTGTCTATATGACTGCTGTACCAAGCTGTCATTCATAAGAACAGTATGTGGAGCAATCTGGGTGTAGCAGCAGGCAAATACTTCATACCCGACCTCCTTCCTGGTGAGAGCCAAGCGTTGTCTCTGGCTGGGCATCCACAGCCCTTCTGAGCAGCCAGTGAGCAGCAGCTGGGGAGATGAGATGCAGCTCTGGTGCAGAGATGTGTTCTGGCTGCTCTGGGCTGTCAGTGGAAAACGCAGTGAGTGAGMCTCATGCATGGATGATTCCTGTGCTGGAAGTTTTTGATGGAAAATTTGCTTTTCACATTAGCTGCAAAGCAAACAAGGGCATTTGCAGCTTGAATGAATTGTGAGATGAAAAGTTCTTGGGGTGTTGAGAATGTGCTAAGTAGCCTTGCTTTKCCTGTGAGCTGGGAAGGCACAAAGTAAATTTTTGGTCCTTTTCAATCCGAATCATGAGGAGATGAGATTTACTGCCATGTGATGGTGGACTGACCCATCAGAAATTAAACTGATGTTCAAGAAGTGACAACTGTTTGGTCTTTGGGACGGAACTGCCCCATGCTTGACAGTATTTGGATGAGAGACCCTCAGGGCAGCTGGGCACGAATTGCTCATTGCTGTTGAGGTGTAAGTTGTTAAGGCCTCTGTTTTAAAGCCCCTTTCATCAGTTTTTTTCAGAGAAAAGATGTCATGTCTATACAGGGAATGTGCAAAGGCAGTGACAACAGAATAGATTTCTCGCTTGTGCAATTTTTTCTTATCTGCGAAGATACAAATGCTTGAAATAACTTTGAGCTGTGTTAACTCTGCTGTATTATCTCTGACTGATGCAGTGATGTTGGAGGTAAGTTCTTTACCCCAGATTCCCCAATATGAAATGGGAATAGGGATGTTCAGAGCATCAGAAAGTGAGAGAAAATTACATCTAAGGGTTAAAATTAATACAGAAATGTTGGTAAAAAAAATAGAAAAAAGGAAAGCAAAGAAAAGTTAAAAACCCAACTATCAGATAACAAAGACTTGCCAAGGATCCCTGAATTATGGAATTTTGKAATCTTGAACTGCTGCTCTTTTTCATAAGAACGTATCTGTATGACTAATTTCTTTAATTTTTCATTCATTTCAGCTAAAAYGTATTTCTGATTTTACAGAGAAGTTACATGAAAGTTGCTTCTTACCTGTGTGTGAAGATGCAACTCTTGTGCAGTGGGGATGCATAAGAAGTGTAGTTCAGACTTTTATTAAGTCTCCCCAGGCACATTGAGTTTGTGTCCATCAGTCCCTACCTCAAAATGTTTTTATGTTTCTGRATGGGAACAGCTTGAAGTGTCATAGAAAATCACTTGGGTGCATACAGACAACAATACTTAATTTTATAATTAGCTTTAGGCAGTGAGAAAACTGGAAAATACTTTTAAGGTTTTTTTTTGGCAGGTTTTTATTAAAATAAAAGCTGCTCATTGAAATAACTTTTGTATTGAACTCCCAGACTTTGCAGGAGTACTTCTATACTTCTAAGAAACAGAAATAAAGAACATGCATGAGAAAACTTGATGATATTTAGAACAGAAAATACATACAATAGGCTGATKTCTCATAYATTTTAATGAGAAAGAAGACACAAAATTACTTAGCTTTAAGGATTTGAATGCATCCCTAATGAGSATAATGTCCTGCCCCCAGGTCCTCRTGGTACAGAAGAACTGGATTACACAGAAAAGAAGTGAAAAATWATTTAAAGATGATGATGAGTTCAAGGTGCAAAATRTTGTTAGTTCAGGGGGAATTTGAATTGAAGTAATAAACTAGAAACACAGACAAAACTATGAGAAAAAAAAACACTGAATCCTCTGCCCAAGTCTAGAAAAATGCCTTTGAAGAAAAGGCAAAGATGGCTGGGCAGTTTGTCACCAAAACCCTTTTGGTTTTAAGGAAATTCCTCAGTGACACTTGTGGTTCTTGGTGTGTCACTGACTGCAGAGGAGAGCCAGTCTGGGGACTTGGTGTAGGCAACCCTGTGGATGATTTGGGGGCCTGGAAGTCTCAGGTGAACTGCAGTGCCCTAGGACAAGCACGTTTGAAAAGCTTTTTCAATAAAACCATTTCTAACTTATTCCCACTATCCCAGTGGAATTTCCCCTATTTTGTTGCAGGAAGTCTGTGGTATTTACAGTTTGTTGTTGTAGAGGTGCTGCAGTTAGACATCCATCTCTTTGAGTCATAGTGAAGGGCTCGATTTGGGAAAAGTGGGTACAGAAATGCATTTTTGAGAGCCTAGTGTACATAAATGGTTTTATTCATTGAGCAAAGAGCATTTTCTTGTCTTTATAGAAACATTTTGTGTTTTATAGGAGAACAAAACTCTTTTCAGCTTGGTGTTACATGTATTTCTATTTCAAAAGAAAAGGTTTAGTTACATTAAACAAAACTTAGCATTAGTATTGTGATGAGGTACACAACTATCTTTCAAAATCCCCRTAACGCTTTTCTGCTCAAAGGAGTTAGTCTTGTTTTCTCTAAAGTCTTCTCAAAGTGAAATGCTTCATTAAAATTAATAAGGCTGTGACCTACATAGTTTACAAAAGAATTAAATACTGTAATARTATGACCATATTCTTACTGTGCAGTTAATTTGTATTTTTCTTTMTATTACAAGTGTTCACTTCTTCCTTTGAAGTTTGTGTCAGGCYACTGTACAAACAGTGTTCACTGAATAAGAATGGAAAAAGGGTGACTTCGTGGCCTTTTGTGGCAGAATATGTTGATAGTTTTTAATGCTGCCTTCTCTCCTATCCCACTGGTCCTGATTAAACACTCTAGCATCAGTTTTTGGAGACTGCTGTTAATATTTTTTTTTAAAAAAAATATGGATTTTTGTTGCTCAGGATTCCACCAGGAACAGGAATTTGTTGTTCTCAAATCTAGGGAGAAAAACGGTGTCCAAATTTATGTACACTTGAGGTCTGGAATCACTTGGCATCCAGACCTTCCAATCAAAAGTAAACTCTAATATTTGGTCCTTGATCTTGAAGACAAGACTGCCATGTTTGTGGACATTTGGTCTGTGAAGACAGAGGAACATTTGTGAACCTGTTTTTGGGATTTGCTTAAAAAAATCTGCCAGAGCAAGAGCAGCAGAATACGGTTTAGAGTTGGGACAGAAGTTGAAGACAGATGCCTGGTTAGGAGTTAACCCAGGCAGACATCACAGCTGAACGMTGTGTGGCCTTACCTCAGGTGCTATAAACCTGCTACTGGCAGTTGTCCGAGACTTGATTGATGTCACTCACATGGGCTGATGGCTTAGCGAGAAGAAGTCCACCAGTGCTGTGTTAAACAGCAGTGCTGTGTTAAACAAGTCCTGTCTGTAAAATGGCCAGTGCTGTGTTAAACAAGTACAGCTTTACAGGTCATGTCCTTGTTCTCAGGCTTGGCATTTTCTTTTAGTGGAATTTGAAAGAAAAATTTCAAAGAAGTGTTTTCTTTGATGAAATACAAAGAAGTCCCGTGTCCTTGAAGAAGATTGTTGGCTGTCTACAGTAGTTTCCAAAATTGAAGGCTATGAGTAGTGTGTTTGTCTCTGTGTATAAGKGTTTTTTTAATTGCCACATAATGAATATAAAATTAGAAAGTGCTATGACACTGAAGAAGATAACATTAAAAGAAATTCATAACAGTGTTGAACTATGATACTTTGCTGAAAGTTTGAGTTATGCCTCATGGGTACTTGGCGTATTATACCTTTTAAAAATGATTGTGATCTGTAATTTTCCACCAAATATCTTTTCAGTGCAACAAAGGATAAGACATCACTGCAGTTTGATCAGCCATTAAAATTTGTATTCAGTCTTAATACTGCCCTTATGTAGCTGGGAGATACACATAATGGTCAGTGCCTCCCCTTGTAGTTTATTTAACAAAAATTTATTTTTCCTTCTTCCAGTTGATCTTAAGAAAGGATCATGTCCAAGTGCTGCAAAATCGAATCTTCCCAAGCCCTGCCCATCTGGACTTCGTCCTCCAGGTTATTCACGGTTGCCAGCAGCTAAGCTGACCGCATTTGGTTTTGTCAGGACCTCAAGTGTGTCCTCTGTCTCCAGCAACCAGTCAAACGACAGCGCTCAGAGTGACCAAAGCAGGACAACCAACCGTAAGTCCAAAAATTGCCCTTCTTTCTGGAGGGATGTTAAACAGATGTATTTCAGCATTGTCCAGACTGAAGTTTCGATCTAGTTTAGGGTTAAAGAAATCTGTTCAGTACTCTGTTGTGCTATTGACTTTGGTTTGGTGTCTTAATTTCCCAGTGAAGTTAAAATTTCCCAGTTTAAAATATTACTGATATTTATTGAATATTAAGAAACAATTATGAAATTCTAGAAACTATTTRAAATATTAATAATAACAGATGAGTCCGGGCTGAATGTACATTGAATGAAGAAGGGGTTGTTCTCCCTGCTACAGAGAAAATCTCATTAAGGGTGAACCTGAGTGTCATGGCTTTAAACCTGATTTTTCCCAATCCGAGTCACTGCACCAAAAATGTCATGGTTTGGACTGTGCTGAAAGCCAAAAGCACTGCACCCATGACGTTC